GAGCAGGAGAACAGTCCTCCCGACGACGCTCGCGGCGATGGTTATAGACGGGACGCGACCGCCACCAGCACCGCCAGCCTAATCGAGACCGAGCCGCTCGCCTTCTCGTCCGGACTATCGTTCGCGCGAGTTCCCGCTCGCGATACCTGTGCCCTCCGCGAGCAAGTGCGCGTCGGATCGACTGCGCGCTGAAGCAAACGTCCAGTCGGAAAGGTCAGTGGATCGAGCCTCCGGAACGCTCCCGAACGCTCCGGAACGCTCCGGAACGCTCGCTCGTCTCCGAGTTTCCCGATCCGTCCTTCGGCTTTTCCCTCCCGTCCCGCTTCCCGGAAATTCCGTCGGACGCCCGAATACGTATAGGGGGGATCGGTGTCACGTGTGCGGAGGGCAGCCATCGACGACGCTATTGAAATATTTCTCTCGCGGCCGGGGGGTGGGGGTTGCCCGACACCGGAGACCTCGGCGGCTACTTTGCGCCGCGTTAATTCCTCGCGCCCTTCGACTTTGCTCGCCTCGTCTCCCGGAAACGGATGGGCTCTTTCGTTCGCCGGCTGCGCTGCTCTCGATTCCGCTCGATTTCCGCCGATTTCCTCGGCTCTCGTCCGATGCTCGACGCCTAACCCTCGCGCGGACGACGTTTCGCCGAGGAAACGAGTCGAGTCGAGGCCGAGGCGATCGAGGCGGGGCCGTGACAGTGGAGGAAAGCTGCTCGAACGAATCCACAGGATGAGAAACGGGGCCGGAGGAAAGCGGCGATAAATTCGTTCGGGAAGGTCGGGAGGAGAATTGCATAACGTCCACCCCTCTCGCCGCCCTACGCTGTCCCTCCTCTTTTCCTCCCGCTTTTCTCCATCCTCCGTCTCTCTTCTCCTCTCCTCTCGTCTTCTCTTCTCTTCTCTTCTCTTCGCTTCTCTTCTCTTCGCGGTCCGTTTCTAGTTTTCCCTCCGTCAGCCAGTGCTCCTCCGAACGGTCGCAAACGCTCGCGCCGATAGCCGATCAACGGCGGAGCTACCAGACGGATAAAACTGACCCATTTCGAGATTCCTATTTCGCGATTATTCGAATCACGCGGATGCTTTTGCGCGACGTTTCCGAGTAATTTTTCCAGCAACCTCTAAACAAGCCGCTTCCAGCGTTCGGCGGTTCTAGCGCGGAGCAGCTCCTTTTCCCGCGAACTTTCCTCGCGCCTCTCCCTTTCCCTCTCTCTCTTTCTCTCGGCTTCGCCCCGGCCGTCTCCTCCTCGCGTTACCGGAGGTATTTAATTAGAAGAGACCGCGACCTATTCTCTCCGCGGAGGCATCCGCGGTGTCGTTTAATTCGCCGGACAAGGTCAGCTTCCTTTGTTGCCGGCCGCATCCGTCGCATCCGTCGCATCCGTCGCATCCGTCGCCACGGGGACCAGGGAAAAGGGACCAGGAAAAAGGGACCAGCTTCGGCCTTCTCGATCGGCATTCCGACAACCTGGACGTTGACCAGGACGTTGACAGCGCGAACGCGTCGTTCGGAAATTAGGCTGCGTTTACGGACGTTTTCTCGCCGATCCGTCGGACGATCGGCAGAGTTTCCCGAAGCGATCGAAGACACTTTCGATTCGCTTTCTGAAAGATTCAGGGGCCTCGCCGAGCGACAAGTGGAACAAACTGTTCGCGAAACTCCGTGAAACTTTTCGCTCGGCTCGAGTTCCGAGTAATCGGCCGTGCCACGGGTTCGCGAAATCCCGGATCCATTAATGATGATTCGGTATCGCGCAAGCGGGACGCAAGCGGGACGCAAGCGGGACGCAAGCGGAGTTTATTCAATCGACGAACACTTTGTCCGACAACGGGGAATGTAGGGTGTCCGGCAGTCGAGTCGCCGTGACGATCGCTTCACGGGACTCCCGCTCCCAGCCACCCCACGTCGTAAACACATTTATCCTGCGGATATCGCCGTTCGATTCCTATCCCGTCGTATAATCTAACGGGACGTCGTGATCGCGGACATGCTCCGACATAGATCTCGCCGAATCAACTACCGGCACGGCCGGAGGGGGCAGGTTTGACAACCCCTCTAATATCGGGAGCGAACGTTACTCGAAATCCCTCGGCCGTAGAGGCGGAGGCCTCGCGGAACGAGCCGGGAACGCGTGGAAAAGCCTTGACACCTCGCGCGACACCCGTGTATCGTGATCGCCACCTGATTCCTATCGCGTGCGACATCGAGGTGTCGGTTTCCTCCACGAGGATGTCGTTCCGCGAACGAACACCCATCTTTCGAGTTAGCTGGATTCAAAACTGTCAGAAAACTCGATGTTACTCATAGTCCTACAGTTTAACCCTTTGCACTCGAAAAATTTGTCACCGGAAATATTCAATTTATCCTTATCAGATACAGATGACATTTTCTTCAACTAACGAGGAATCTATCCACAAAATAAGGGGAACAATGGTATCTTATTTCTCCATTTCACGTATCGACAGATTACTCAAGACTTGTGAAACAAACATTTATACGAGTCGAAACGCATCAGTATCTCGTTGAGACTGTCGCGTTTGAGGTTGTCGAATTGGATTGGTTTTCCCTAACGGATGTTACGAAAGCTGCACGTTTCGTGCGACTTTGCAATTGGAAATTCCCGAAATTCCCGAAAAATTCTCGATCTTCTATCGAAGGAATCTGGCAACGACGAAGGCTGAGTCGCAGACGAAACGCGAGGAGAAACGAGTAACCTCTCGGTCTAATTGCGAGCGGCGATATCTCGCCTGTTTCCTCGCGCCGTATCGAAAGCGCGGAGGACTTAAGCGATCGATGGACCCTTAATTTCGTTCCGTGTTTCGTTACAAT